TTTATTATTTTGTTTTTGAAGAGTTTTATTCCTTCTTGACGTACAATACAATTAACAGGAATTGTCAAGAGTAGGAATGATCACTTAGACGTTCTTCTTTACTTATAATTTGAGACTGTTCGTTAAGGTGAGGGTTCAGAGGAGTGTAAATAATAAGATCTTTTGTTTCAGAGCAATAAATTACACTGTCATACACTCCTTTCGAGTCGGGAGTGGTCGGCGAACACTATCTGTAGTAAATAGACGATTAGTTATTTTGTACATGAAATTGACGATGAACAAAAATTGCCTGGTAATTTGAAAGATGAAATGGATGGTGAACATGAGGTCGTCGCATATAAATCATTAGCATATTCTTTAGAATCGTAAATCAAGAAAATATACAAAGCATAGCATTTTATCATTTCACTGATAATATGCGATATCTATAATACAGATAACAAGAATAAAAAGATACATTATTTGAATATCTTTATATATTATAAGATTATATGGGTTTCCGACCGATGCAGCTGAAACGTTCGAATCCCGGAAGGTAGTTATCGCATGGTATTTGGGCAGGTGATTTTTCACTTTTGTATCAGCTTTATGATATTTTGAAAAAAACCGGACTACTTATTTTTGAGTTGGATTTCGTGATTTAGATTATCGAATGAGAGAGCGATTAGTCAAATAGGCTAATCATCGAATTGCAGAACTATTTTATTTTTCATCATATTTGGAAGACTCCTTCGTACATTTATAATTATAAGGGTATTTGCACCACAGACTGCGATATTACTTTTATCGTTACCTTTTTTTTTTCTTGTTTGCTTCAGTACGTATGTGTCTCCATAATACTTTATCAAGATATCAATGATACCAAAAGTTCTACCAAAAAGTTCTGGTCCTTTTAAAGCAGCTATGTTGGCAACATGCACAGTAGTTATCGAATTACGTGTCTTGTTAATATCACCATTTTAAATATTGGTGCTGTTTGGAATTCTGAGGTTGGATTCAAAAAAATTTCAAAAGGGTCAAGGTGGATCGTAGGTTGGAGCGATTTGTACAGTATCTGTCATTCGCGGAAGATGTAATTACCGAATTATATGCAGTATTTGTAGCATTATCTGGGTTGGGACCTGGTCATCGGATTCAATCATTCGATGAAGCAAAGCGGTTAGATAAAATCAATGAACGTATGCCCCCATCAATGGCAACCCCAACACAATCACCAATGGCCAGTCCATCGGCTCGTCACACCAGTCCAAATGTCAGCAACAGTACAACAGCCATACCACCAGCAACAACTGCAACAATTTGAAAAAAGCAATTGTATGTACCGGTTTTCTACTGGTTATCCCGACTGGGGAATTATATATAAACTCATTTTCGGTTGATTGATTTCCTTTTTGTTCTTTTCTGTTTTAGAAATGATCATTGTAATATTTATGATTTTCATTTTATGTTTTGTGTGCGCTTTTCGAATCGTATGTTTTGAAAGAAAGAAATTTATTTGATTCTCATTCTTAGGAGCCAAGAACTTTTTTTTTCATCTTGTCGTTCTTGAAAACTAGTCAAATCTGGTCATATTCGAAATCTACAATGAATTTCTCGAATTTTCAATAAATTAATTAATGGGTAAATTTCAAAACTACTGGTGATTTTTTGAAGCATCTCGCTACAAAGCTGTTCCCATGACGGTTACGGTGACAAATTTATTTTTATTTGGAAGTTTTTAAAATTACTTTCAAAGTTGCCCTTGCCGTTTGTTACTTTTTTAATTCAAGTGTTTCCTCGCAGCTCATAGTTTGCAACTTTTTCGTGTCGCTTGTATGTTTTTGTTTTTATGGATTTGTTGTATTATGCATACTGTTCTGCTTATTTTTGTATTTATAATTCAGAGGCAGGTTTTTCATATTCCATCTTATGGCATTCTTAGTTTATTTGTTATCGCTGAAGAGGGAAGAAGAGAGGGAAAATTGGAGAGCGAGCAAATAATGTGACAGACTATCCCTTTTGCTATTGGTTTAGAAAATTTTAGGTAAATTGTTGGTGTCACCTTGCGATCCTGCCTTCGGAGAATTTTATCAATTTATTAAACTGTGTTGTTCTAGTCGATGATGTTGCTCTAGTCGACCGGTGTTATTGTTATAATTTATGTCGATAGTGTGTGAGGGGGGTTTGAGGAATTTCCTTATCTGCTTTTGTTCTTTAATTCGTTTTATTGTCCTGCTGGTGACTATCGCTTTCTATTTCACCTTTTCGTTGTTAGGTAGGGTGATAGCAACTCATTTCCTAAATACGCTATGAAATCAGATGTTGTCACTGACAGTATCGTAGATTCCAAGCTCACAATTCCAGAATTGTTGCATCTTGAAATTATAAGGAAGCTATCACATATTCTGGTAAAAAGATTACGGAGAACTGAAATCGGTTTTTTTGCGCCTTTAAGGAGAAATTGTTACGGTATCATAGATAGTACAATAGTACAATATTTGTGCTAAAGAAATGCTACTTTGAATTTGAAACATACCAAAGCATTATTAAATACACTATGAATGCATTTTCTGTTAATGAAAAGCGTAATCTTCCTAATAAGTTACAATGTTTGTAGGTAATATTTGGATCTGTCCTGACTGTTTGCTCAGGATACTTTCAGGGTACAAATCAAGTTCCAACAGCACGTCACAATAGTTTTACCTTTTTTGTTTAAGAAATAAGTGAAATTTGGTCAAATTTTATGTCTCTCTAATGTAATTGCTGCAGTCCACTAATTCTGATATTTCAATGGTTCATTTTATGATATCATTATTTCAGTGTATTTTGTAAACTTATCTTAATCTTTGCTGTTGCTGACACATGTCTTGAAGTGTAATAAACTGCTTGTACATCACAGTACACTATCTGGAAAGAGGTATATGATAATATGCCTCACAATTTATAATCAATTCTTGTTATCAAGTTGACGAAAGAAAGATACGGGATAACGTGGAACAGTTTCTTTAATAGGTGCTGTTGGTAATGTTTGTGTTCGGGAGTGAATGGATAAGTTACTGTCACATGGATATGGACACAACATATGATCTATCAAACCGTAGAAGGAAGAAATGATTTTGAAATGGCATGCAGCTGTAGGTTTGCCGTGAATTAGTCATGGCAATAAGATTTAAGAAGTCAGGGAACAGTGGTGCGAGAATTATTTCTGTAATCGAACGTTCGTCCCACAGACATTTTTGCAAATTACTTTTTTAGTGGTTATCATTTGATCTATAGGTAGCTGTGCACAGCCAGACTGTTTCATAACTAAAAAGTACAAACAGGGCGAATAGAGGGCATGGGAACGGCTGCACACGTACTAAAACACTTCATTCAAGAGAACAGAAAGAAAAATACATTCAACCATGAATTATTAAAATTTCCAATTTCTTCCTTATATATCGCATCGCAAAATTTTCCAGTAAACTTCGTGCCAATTCTTCACGAACTTTCAACTTTCATTCCATCATCGGTCTTTAGGAAGTTCAGAGTGTAATTGAATAGCTATCCATTGAATGACACTGAACTGTATATTCGTTTTTTTTATCGTCCTAAATTCGATATCAAGAATACCTATTTATATCCTTCTATCTATTTCTCTCTTCTCGCTCAACTCTTCTACCAGTTCGGTCTTTTTCTGAATAAACTTTGGAAATTTCACCAAATCTATACAAAATTCCTGCTAACATGTAGAGCCAATTCAATGAACTGTTCTCGCTGTTTCTCTCCAGTGACTCTGTAATCGTATCTTGACCTTTCACGATGTGGACCATTTCACGTTCGCACTAGTCTTGATAGTTTTCGAAAGTGTGATCCTGTGTGCTGTTGTTAGTTTCTGTTTACCTAGTACTCAAGAGCTTAACTACTTTTAGCTTAGCATATCGTAAACAGAGGAAGGAGGAGAATTTATCAACAAAAAAGCAAAGAGAGATAGAGAGAGAGAGAGAGAGAGAGAGAGAGAGAGAGAGAGAGAGAGAGAGAAGGAAAACCCGTGTAATCCAAATTTCTTTTTCTTTTCATATTGGTTGAAATCATTATTAAGATGAGGATCTTTCTCGCTGTCACCGGTTAAAGACCATAAAAGGCGTACTAGAATATAAGCTAGAATCACAGAGATACCGCAAACATTGCTGTTTAAGATAGATTTTTAGGAAAAGTAGTTAATTATCAAAATTATTAGTCGCAAAAAAAGGATGCAGAAGAAAAAATGACTTTCGAAAGTCAATAAGGACTCAATCGGCTCATTCGAGACTGAATTTTGTCTAAATAACCTTCATTATACATTACGGACACGAGGAAGAAGAAGAAATCATACTTCCCTCATCTTTCTGGTAATAAAACGACCATTTTATCAATTCCCTTCAATGCTGTGCCACCCAACATTAATTTTCCCTGATTTCGGATTTTACTCGAATTTTGTTTTACCGAAACGCGTGTAAAGTTCGGCCGTTCGTATCACTAAATATTCATCCGAGGATATTTTCAATCCCGAGAGAAAAAAGAGAAGGAGGGAGGATTTACCTGTTTCACACGACGTAAAGACCAATATCTAATTGTATAATATTTTTGGATACTTATCCAGCTAATGTGATATAGCTAATATGAATAAGACCTTGGATTTTGGTGCAAATAGTAACAACGCAAATGATGGAAAACATGTACGATCACGTCAATCCGTTACTCAACAGCCGAAGTATTGGTCACTTTTATTTTTTATTTTTCTTCTTTTGAAGGTGGCAAGAATTTTGATAGAAAGATAAATTTATCCATTGTAATTAACTGTTTACTTCACTCTGAATTTCACTTTGCAAATTTTTTTTTGATACTTTTGGTCATGTAAATTAGTCAGGGATGCCAGTATTGTATTACAAAGGCTTGCTTATCGTATTTTGAGGTGGTTTTCCGGACTTCGTGCTAGGATCTCTCAGCTTAATATGCCGGAATGGCTGAGCCAGCTTGGAGTCAGAAATTTCAATTATGTAGCACCAATAGAGGAAGTGGTAAGTCCTTTCACAGTAATAATGGAGGTGAGAGGGTAAAGTAAACGTTGTAGGAGCTGAATCCGTGATTATTGGCGGAATCTGAGATTGCATTTTTTAGAAGTGAAAATGAGTACCGTGGGAGAAAGCAGTCAATGCACGATTTGACGTTGAGCTATGAAGTGCGTGCTTTGATCTTGATGCTTGGAATTACAGCTTCTAAAATAGCTAATAGAGATACTAGAAGTACATTTATATTTTTTAGTCACCCAGTAACAAAAGTGAAGAAAAAGTGGAATGCAAAGATGATCAACCGGAGCGAAGGCTGGATGATGTTTCAAAGAGGTTGGAGACATACACTGATCCAGCAGTGGACATGAATGGAGTAAGTTCACTGTTTTTTAACTTAAACACCTTTATATTTGCTTTTAGTTATTCTCTCAATTTTCATTTTCATTGTTACTTTTGTTATCGCTACTGTTGCTGTTCTTATCATCTTTGACATGCGTTTTGTATATATTACAGGAGTTTTAAATTTCTCAGCAGTTTTAAATTAGTCGCAAATCGATTTTAAGTCAGTTCAATTTACAGAGCGATACTATAGGCTCTTGGTTATGGGAGGAAACTGATTATGGCGATACACTCGCTTTGCAGCACTTTGGCCCATTGAAGAATCTCATTACGGGTTGTAGTCATCCAGGAAAAGGACACGATTTCTTGTAAGAGGTTTTAGAATGAATGAATTTTATTAGTTTAAATCTAATCAAATGTTTTTGGATCATTTCAGGTCATTGTCTGTTACTCATCCAACTTGGTGTGACAAATGTGGAGATTTTATGTGGGGATTTTTAACACGAGCTGTGAAATGTGATAGTAAGTTAATCTTCTAAAAAATCTTATGGTATTAAATCTTGAAAATGGGCCACAAAAGCACTTACATGTGTTTTTTTCAAATGAAAGTCCTGGATTTTAGAAAATCTTAAGCCAAATGTATAGAGCTTTTTCCTTACAGACTGTAATTATACTTGTCATGCAAAATGTAAATCGCTTGTGACACTTGATTGCAAAACAGCGGATAGTACCTTGAATTCATGCCATGAATTAGCTGTAACATCTTCTTTTTCAACTCTCAAAATGTTCACAGAAAATGACGACGTTCTTGAGGTTTGCACCATTCTCTGCTATGTTCTGGAAGTTTTAAGTTGTCATTTAGAAATTCGGAAACATAAATAAAGTAAAATGCTTCATAACATTCTTTGCTTTTTTCTGAGCCTTTTTTCTCAAAGCGTTATGAGCAAATCACGAA